TTCCATGGGGTGCAGTCCTTCAGGAAGGGACTGCTCCAGCGTGGGTCCCCCCATGGGGTCACATGTCCTGCCAGGAACCTGCTCCAGCGTGGGCCTCCACAGGGGTCACAGCCTCCTTCAGGCATCCACCTGCTCCGGCGTGGGGTCCTCCACGGGCTACAGGTGGACATCAGCTCCACCATGGACCTCCGTGGGCTGGAGGGGGACAGCTGCCTCACCATGGTCTGCACCATGGGCTGCAGGGGAATCTCTGCTCTGGTGCCTGGAGCATCTCCTCCCCCTCCTTCTTCACTGACCTTGGCGTCTGCAGAGTTATTTCTCTCGCATCTTCTCACTCATCTCCCCAGCTGCAAAATGCTCAGGTTTGTTTTGGTTTGGTTTTTTTTTTCCTCTTCCCCTTCTTAATTATGTTCTCACAGAGATGTTACCACTGTTACTGACTTGGCCTTGGCCAGGGGCAGGGGGGTCCCTGACTGGCTCAGCCTGGCCAGCAGCAGGTCCATCTTATAGCCAGTTGGCATTGGCTCTGTTGGACACAGGGGAAGTTTCTGGCAGCTTCTCACAGAAGCCACCCCTGTGCCCCCACCCCCAGCTACCAAAACCTGGCCAGAGAAAACCCAACACACAATCCAAAGGTGATGCAGCTCCCAGCCTCCCAACTGCAGAATTCAAGCAAATGCACAATTAAAAAAAAAAATAAAAAAAATCCAGAACTCATTAGATTCAAGCCTTTATTCTCCTGTGTCATTCACCAACACTTATCTCCACTTGTCCCTATGGAAACAGAAGCAAGGTTGTGTGCACTCACATAAATGACTTATTGGAACTAAAAATAGCAGCACTGGAATAACTCAGTACTCCACACCATATCAAGAAGTTTCTCCCATGGGGTACAGCAGCGCACTCACACACTCTCCAGGAGCAGAAGACTCCTGCTCTAAGGCTGATGACTGGTGTCTGTTTGGCAAGCCAAGTTCTCACCTTTAAGGCATAGAGATCAGCAGCCAAGGCAGCAGCTTTCTATCTTTTGTGAACTTAGTGAATACTTGTGCGAGGAGGAGGTGGTCAGTGCTGAACTAGAGGCATTGGTCAGTAATTTCCTCCCCTTGCTGCCAGTTCTTCCAAAAAGTGTGCAGCACTGAGCCATTCAGAAAGAGCTACACATGCCACAATACAGACAGGGTTTGACCCAAAACATGAGTCATCTGAAGTTGAAAGGAAAAAAAAAAAAAAGCAAATCCTCAAAACCTCAGAAATTATTTAGGTTGGAAGGGACTTCTAAATATCATCTAGTCCAAACCCCCTGCCAGGGACAGTTTCCACTGGATTAGGTTGCTCAAAGGCCCATCCAGCCTGACCTTGAACATTTCCAGGGATGGGGCATCCACAAGCTTCTTTGGGCAACCTGTGCCAGTGACTCACTGCCCTCCTCATAAAACATATCTTCCTTATGTCCAAGCTAAATCCACCCTCTTTCAGTTTATAACCGTCACCCCTTGTTCTGTCACTACAGGCCTTGGTGAAAAGCCTCCCTCCTCCTTTGTCACAAGCCCCTTTTATATATTGAAAAGACACAACAAGGTCACCCTGGAGCCTCCTCTTCTCCAGGGACTGCCCCAACCAAGGTGCAGGACCTTGCACTTGACCTTACTGAACTTCATGATGTTCACGTGGGCTCACTCCTCCAGCCTGGAGGTCCCTCCGGATGGCATCTCTTCCCTCAAGTGAATCAACTGCACCACTCAGCTTGGTGTCATCCACAAATTTGCTGAGAGTGCCCTCGATCCCACTATACACGCCACTGATGAAGGTATTTAATAGTGTTGGTCCCAGTATGGATCCCTGAGGGACACCACTCATGCCAAAACAGTTTTAAGGAAGAAATCATTAACAGTGTTTAGAGAAGCAACATCCAGAGTTCAGCACTGGGGTGGAAAATGCAGTTCTGCAGAAGGCCGAGATCCTTGCTGGAGGAGAGCGTGCTGAGAAGCTGCTTGTCCCACGCTGACTCAGGGTGGCAGTGCAGCAAAGCCAGAGCAGACAAGAAGCTTTTCAGCTTTCACCCGTGTGGCTGATCTGTCAGCAAC